TTCCGACCTCTTTTATCAAGAAAATACATTTTTTTAGTTTAAAAAGTTCCTAAATATTTTCGCCATTTACTGGAACGAAAAATTGAATTGTGAACCCTTGATTCATTTCTTGATTTTGTAGTGGGTATTATCGTGAAATTGTAAATAGTTTTTTTTTAATTCATGGGTAATATGGGTATAGATAATATATAACCCATCATTTGATATTATTGATTAAAAATATTTTAGTATTTTAATAAACTTATAATTTATACCAAATAGTAATTTACATTTTTTAAAGAAAATAGGAGGTAAATGTATAAATAAATTATTATTAAAATGATGTAATTTTTTGGTAATAAAAATGATTCCGTGATTAGAGCAAATATTTTTGTCTTTAAATTTTACTTAGGCACCTAATTAAATGCTGTTATATTTCTTTACCGTAAATTAATATATTTTTTTATAATTATAAAATCAATTATTAAAAAAAAACTTATAGACACAACGTAATTTATTAAAATATAATATTTTATAAAGAACCGATGGGAAATATATTTTTTTTTATATTTAGTATCTAGTTTTTTTATCGATTTATTCTTTGAGATACGAAGAGAATAAAACCTCTTCGTATTTTCGTTAAATAATCAAAACAAAGAAAATTCAAAGGAGTTATACTTACTTTCTTCCTCAACTCAAAAACTTTTTCAGAAAACAACAACTTTACAAAAAGTATAACCAACAATAGTTTTCTATTAAAATAATTTCACTGAAACCACGGAACTGAATTGTATTTTCATTCAAATATTCTAAAAGCACGAATTTCAAATACTTTGAAGTTATCACGAGTGTACGAAGGAGCAGTTCGAATTTCGAACACGACCGTTCCCCTCATTCACCGCGCATAGACTGGCTGGAAGAAGCCTCTCGTATGGAACCTCCGCCACCGCTCCGAATTAAAAAAAACAAACAAGCCAATGGCCGTATTGATATATTTACGTTAATTTTGATACTTGTGTTCTATTCAGTCTCGCGTTTATTGGTTTTTGATTGATACTTAGACTTTGATTGGAGAAAAATGTATAATTTTTTTGAAACCATTTAAATATAGATACTAAGAGCGTTTCAATTAATTCAAGTGTTTTTAAAATATCTTAATATACATTTTTAATAACAAATCTTATAAATAGGCGTCCCACGAATTATAAGTAATTACTTGATAATATTTTCTTTATAGAACTAATTTAATCTTAGAAGACATTTTCGAGACTTTCTACGAAATCAACTTTAATCAGATAATTAAATTAAAAATTAATTTGAAATAATTATAAAAAAAAAACACTTTTATATTCAAATCATTAATTTATAATTACTTTAAAATTATTATTTCTTTTTCATGACGATTCTAAAAAGCTATTCAAGAGTCCAAAATACCATCGAATTACCATAGCTTAATATATTTTATGCAAATTATAGTAGGTCATTGTCTTTTTTTTAATTAGAAACTTCGAACGAAGGCGTTTATGACTTGTCACTTCACCATGGCGACTTACTTAATGAATTGCTAATTTCTATTCCGAAGATAGAAAAAAGAAAATGTCAACGGTGTAATAAATAAAGTTTAATTTTTTTTTTATATTTCTCTTTTTTATTTTTTATTTGAATTTGATACTGGCTATTACGTTCGAAATTCAATTTACTGACCTTTTGTCGATAAAACAGTGCAGTAAAGTGTCAAATGACAGCTCACGTACATACATAGACCATCAATACATAGTATAAAACAAAGTCGCTTTCGCTGTATGTCCGTATGTATGCTTAGATCTTTAAAACTACGCAACGGATTTTGATGCGGTTTTTTTTAATAGATAGAGTGATTCTTAAGGAAGGTTTGTATGTATAATACATGCATATTGCACCCGTGCGAAGCCGGGGCGGGTCGCTAGTAGATTATAACAAATCAACGGATGACGTCACAAAATCCTACATCGCACATGTGAAGTTTACATGCAAATTAACATGGATGGATAGAAAATCCCGACGAACAAGTATTGAGCAGAAGGCCCGCCAGGCAAGATAACCTCGCCTGGCCGGAAGATCCTTCTTTTCCGATCTTAGGGAACTCTACTCACTGTTCCCTAAAGAGTAATTGAGAAGAACAGGTAACATCACACCTTTTTTTCCTAAAAGGGCGTGCAGAAGCGTACCTCTTAAGGATATAATAATTATTTACGCCTACTATTTTCCAGTTAGTTTACGAGTCCCATATAATAAGAATACGAGCCTTTCGGCAAATGTTTACTCGGCAGTCGCATTTACGAACCCACCAATTAATCTGATAGTATTAAAATATATTGTTTCGATTGTAAATTGAAATCGTCGATCGTTTCAGTTGCTACAGCTGTTAGTCCCATGTTGGGCGTCAATTAACAGCACATTGGTTCATTCATTTTGCGAATAACGTTGCAATCGTAGACACAATTAACACCATGCTATTTCAACTCTTTCTATGAGTAGGTATAGTTTTACACACACATATACAGTATAACATTTATTTTTCGTCAGTAATGACATAGGTTCTAATATTATTGCAGGCTCGGTGCTAATGCAGGATTACTTCGACCCCGGGGATTAAAACCCGAACCTCTTAATCAACCGGCGATGCGGACAAAACTGGAGCTGCGTACAACTTAACAGGTTACCGGGGTGCCAGCACGAAGCAGTATTAAGAACGGGATGGATTTTACTTAATAAGAGTCTGCTACTCCCTCTTGCCTCACTCAAGGTGGGAGACTGGATGATTTTCCTCTTCAACAAAAAAAAAATACTTTTTATTCAAATAGTTATGTTATTAACGCAGTAAAATTAAGTTCGCCGTACATTATCAACTGTGACTTACACTTTATCATGTTTTCGATATATTCGGATTTTCGTAAATATTAACCAAACCGATTGTGGACAGGCCAACATGAGCACACGTCGATAAAATTGAACTTAAGTGCTAATTCACTACAAGAGTATTTATTTTTAGATCACCTTTAGTATTTATTGTAATAAATAGAAATTGTACATACATTTTGAAATAAATCAAAGCACTTATTCTTGTACAAAATTCAGGTGTAATTTCTCAATGAGCCCTTGAACGATTGAGACACGAAATGATAAGTGATGAAATCAATAAAAAAATGTGTTGTTTAGTATCATCAACAGCCTATAAATGCCCACTGCTGAGCAAAGCCTCTTCTCACACGGAGATGGTTTTCAGCTTTAACCATCACGCTTGCTCAACCCGCACCCTCATGCATGAGAAGCGGTGTTGTTTAGTACAGTACAATAAAAATCTTTTGCTGTCGACCAATCACTGTTAGAGGCAAATCCTCCGCAACCCTCAAGTGTGTGAGGTTAAGATTGGGTTGTATTCTTCACAAATAATCACTATTCAGTGACATCAATTAATTTCAGCAAAGAATTAAAAGTCATGCGACAATAATGATTAAAACTAGACATGTTTATGTGACCATTAGTAAAATTTAAAATACAATTAGAAATATTATAGCCAAAAAAATAAAGATATTTTTTTTAATGCATAAGCCGGTAAACGAGCAGACGGATCACGTGATGGTAAGCAATCGGCGTCGCCCATGGACACCTGGAACACCAGAAGCGTTACAAGTGCGTTATCGGCTTTTTGGGGATTAGGAGTTTAAGGATCGTTGGGAATTCAGGGATTGGGGAGATTGGGGAAGTGGAAGGTAATTGGGCCTCCGGTAACCTCACTCACACGACGAAACACAACGCAAGCGTTACTTCACGTCGGTTTTCTGTGAGGCCGTGGTATCACTCCGGTCGAGCCGGCCCATTCGTGTCGAAGCATGGCTCTCCCACACTTAGTTATTTTCTTTTAACCTTTACCCTACCGAGTCAGAAAAATAAATTAAAAGTATTAGACCGGATTATCCTTGGAACACATCTATCTACTGCTTAAATGGAGGGTTAAGAACTATAGACACTAATAAATACTATTACGTTGACAAGTCCTCGTTGAAGGAAAGGTCACATACGTATCTACTGGCGTAGCATCCCCTTTTCAATCGTCGGGTAAAATGTTACTGAAGATTCGAAAGTCTGTACTATTTTTTTTTTAACGTTGCCCCACACTAGCATTTTCTCCTGTGTCGTGGGTGCCTTTACAAACATACAAGTTCACATACACAATGACACCCAGACCCGGAACAACAATTTGTGGATCACACAAAGTGTTGTTCCGTGCGGGAATCGAACCCGCGACACGTTGCACGGCAGCCGGTTGCCCAGCCACCGCACCAACCGTGCAGTCTATAAAGCTTACTATAAAGCTGACTTATTGGTTTTATACTATTTTTTAAACGCGCATATCTCTTGAAATAATACATTTATTGAAGAAGACTATAAATTATAAAAGTAACTTGAATCCAAAATATGTATTATGATTGAAAAATTGAAAACGAAAGTACTTAAGAGAGATCAGTTTCATTCGTTCTCAGATAAAATGGGTTTAAACACGTCATGCACAACCTATTCACAATTTTAGTGTTCAATCTTCTAAACGTAGTTTTATTTTAACGAAAATATCGCTTGGTTTAAAACCTTACTTTAACCATAAAGTTCTAAAGAAATGTTGTAAGACAATATTATTTGACAATAGTTTTAAGAGGTAAATAAAGTTGTTTTAGTTTCTATAAAGCTGTTACAAGTACTTTAAAATATTGTAAGAATTTGCTGAGAATTAAATATTCATGGCATCAGTAGTTTCAAGATATTGGTTGTACACAATTTCTTTTATCAGTTTGGAACTCTTCAGCAATTCTTAACTTATTGAGTAACAGGTTAGTTAAAATGTTGATCATAAATTGAACAATGCTATAACAAAACTTTTTGTATCCTACCTGAAATTATTAAAGCACAACTAACACTTAGGTTAAAAGCAAGTTAAAAGCCATTAGCGTAACGAAAAATAATGACACGTCACTCGATAACAACAAACTGTCAGTTATCAAACAAGATGCGTCAAATGTAACAAAAAAAGTTAAAATTATATAAGTAAAAATTATTTTAAATTACAAGTGAAATGCCCAACACGAGGCGTCGGAGGTTTTCCGTACAGAATGAGATCGCCGGCCGAGAAAGCAAATTGCAAAATGGTTTGCCAATCAGGTACCTACATGAATAAGAACTTCTTAAGTACTGCCATGGTGAGATAGGAACTTCCACTGATGCTGGGTAATGCTCATAATCAAGTTAATTTGTAATTAAGGAACAAAATTATTATTATTATTCATTTACTTCTGCGTTGACCGCGACAGAGTCAGAGCGAGTCCTTATGCCTTCGTAGTTAATTGCCGATGGTTAGAACAGCTGATCCAAATAGATTATTCGTCTATTCAGCGAGTTTAGTTTGCACCCGGAACCGAACCCAACAACTTGGGATGAAGTTGGAATGAAGATGTCACTGTTTAGATTTCTCAATTGGATCAGCTATGTGAGGCAAGTTGATCATCTAAACAATCATTTAAAGTGGGTATTATATTTAAAAAGTAAATTCGTATAGGTACATATCTGTTAACTTCCGATTTTTTGTAATAATAATGTTATTATAGGTAAGTATGTTTCGAAATCAAAAAGCTATGTCCAAAATTTGTGTAATAGAGGTTCTTTTAAAATCAGTGTATGCATTTATATGTTACATAAAGTTTAGGAACATTTCATCTTTTCCCGGCATGCCACGTTCAAAAGATTGAATTTTCAATTTGTTTCACCAGAATATCAGAATACCACACTATCTTTTTTCAACAAAGCACAGTACTATGTTTTCACTCATTTTGATATCAGCCACAGTCTTAAGATTAATATTGTTAGGCATTTCTGTAGCTATAACGAAAATTTTGTGGAAGACGTCGTTCCAATATTTTTCCCATTTATACGTATCGTGTACGATATTAAATAGAGCAAGTTACTTTTAGATAAAGCATTTTATTATCCCATACATACGGATTTATTCTAATTACAAAAGTATTTTGTATTTTCAGTCACTCCGACCCCGATACAGAACTAAAAGTGGTGGCCACAAACATAGTTGCGACAAAATCATCGAGACTTAAAAACAAGGTATATGCGAACAGCTCCAAATGTCAAACTTTGGAGATTGTAGCAGAATGTGAAAGTACTATATCAGTAAGTACTGTCAAAAAACAATCAACCGTGACTATGGACAAAGCTGTATACGCAAGTTCGAATACTCTCTTAAATCCAGAGAATGCCACTGAAGAATCAATCAATCCTTTAAGTGCTAATCGATCAAGAACAGTAGCAACGGCGATCGAAATACAGAAGAAAAGAGATGAGAGGCAATTGTCTAGAGAGAGAACACCCGCTAGAAGAGACAAGCATCCACGTCAACATCGCATCAAGGTTAGAAGTCCTAAGCGTCGTATACCACTTATAGAACAACCGAATAATAAAGCAATAGACAATAATAAAAGAACAACAGGAACCACGGCTATTAACTGGGACTCAGAAGTTGAACTTTGCAGCCCAGACAACGTGAACAATGTAATAGATACTTTCGAAGAAGTGGAGAGGACGAGTAATCATTCTATAGATGACATGTGTCGCATCTGTCATGGCGGCGAGTCATTATCACCAGAACTCGGGCGTTTGATATCTGCGTGTTCTTGTCGAGGAACCGTTGGTAGGGTCCATGTGAAATGTTTGGAGCGATGGTTGACCGAATCAGGGAAATCTAGATGCGAATTGTGTGGGACCCGGTATGCGACGAGACGCGTGCATAGGTACGGCGTACCGAGGGCGTTAGTTATGTGGGTACTGAGCCAAAATGCTAAACAGGTATGTTCCATTTAAATTGTTTTCGTTACTTCCATATTTTTTCTCTTAATAATTCACTATTTTTAGGTCCACTATAATACAATGCAGATTAATTCCCCTAAAGTATAATAAATAAAAAACCAAACATAACTGTTCCACCCAATACCATATCCAATCAACAAATTACATAGTCGAAAGAAAGAAAAATCCTTGACATTGCGATGTAATGAACGGTAGTCGAACATTTCGTGTTCCATTTTGATTTTACAGCTTCAGGCCATAATCCCATATGCGTCTGAAGTAGGTCTAATGTTTATAGCCAAAGGCACGCAAAGTTGTTTGTATTTTTACATTACAGTCATTAACTGTTTTTTTTATTATGTTTTTTAATAATACATTCGTTTCAGAATTTTTATTACCGTATTAATTGGTAGGTAGGTTGAAAGTTATGAGCTTGACCACAAACAATAAACAAACTAGGCTATAGCCGAATTTGTTTATATCAAAATTATAACAAAATTAAACTCAAAAGCACTCCTTGAGTTTCTTGATTTTAATCCTAATGAACTTATTGAACAGAATGTATTTCTAAATTATCTTTAACTGCCTTAATAATTAGGTCACTATTGGCTTGTTTCAGTTGATGGTGGACAGTCTCGGTATTATGCTGATGTCACCTCTCGCAGTGCTGGCCGCGTGGTTGTCAGGACGTACGTTGGCTGGTCTGATGACGCAAGAGAGTCACGTGACCCCTTGGCCACTAGCCTCCACTTTTGTACTGGCCTGTATGACACTAGTAAGTAAAAGTTTCCTATTCCAATTGATATACAAAAGTAACTATGTTTGTTACCTCTTTATATTATTTATACAGTAAAAGCTCCTTATTCGTGTTTGCTTCATTCACGGATTAATAAATTCGATCTAATTTCTATATTCGCGGCCTAAGACACTGTATTAGCTGATCGAAGAGGTACATCGGTATTACCCCTTCAACCCCATACAAATTACGATTCCATATTCACGATTTCTCTAATCGCGGCATCTCTACATTTACGAAACATATCGCCCGCGAATAAAGACCTTTTACTGTACCTAACTGATCTTCTTGAAGCATTGCTTTTTACCGCGGGTATAAGCTAGTGGCTCTATAATTTCCAAATTAAAATAAAAATGGAGATCATAATTATTTAAGAAGTAAGTTGTTATCTAGATAGCATAAATTGCTCAATAGTTAAGCTAATTATTTTCGTTTAATTTATTACTCTGATTCCAAGCGTTAGGACATACAAATTAATGAGCAAATAGAACTGTAGAAACAAAATGTTGCGAAAAGTTCTTATTAGTAGAAATGGGTAGTTTCCAGGATATCAAAATTAAAAATCTAATTACTCCGTCAGTTAGATAATGAAAAATTATTAGACACGTATTTTTTTTAATTTGCCGTATAAAGTTGCAATATTTAGATAAAATGGCGCTAAGTTTGGGAGTGGGAGGTCGTTACGTCATAACGTGCTACAAAATGTGGTACGCTGTGACGTCACACGATATTTCAAATTAATATTTATATCGTCGAAAGTATTTAATTTTGTGAGAAAAGAAAAAATACGTGATTAAAGTTTTAAATTTATATGTACCAGACGGACATTAAAATAAAATTTAGGAAACTACCCTATTAAGGCTGTACAAAGGACTATTAGTATTTAAAAATATGCTTCAAATATAAAACCTAAATTAACTAAAAAACATAATTCTATCCACTCCAATTTTCCGTAATATTGCTTTCACGAACAACAAGATAATATTTATGCCACAACACGCTCAAACTATCTCCCAGTCACCGCAACCTCGTACCCATCTGTCAGTAACTTGACCGCGGCCATATTTGTTTTTAGTGCCTAAATTATCGAGACTGGGTAGTAAGCCGACAACGCGCCGCGTACGTCTGGAACAGCAGCGTAAACATGGTGATGGTTTGATTTTGTTCGTTGGCTCCTACGTACAAACACAAACATAGTATTAATAGGTATTATCACACGGACTTTCTTCTATTGAGGTAGGCAACGATGCCAAATGGGCGATGGTGAATTACGCACATCGGTTTTCGATAAAAGTTCTTAATAAAATGCAAACTAAAATACATATATTATCTACACCCCTGTATATGAAACGTGAGTGAAGGACTATTAAGTAATAGACTTATCAATATAAAAATGCGAACGAGTGTTCCTTTGTTTTTGTATCAATTCAATTTTATATCATCATTATTAGTTACGCTGAGCTGATATAGATGATTTAATTTCCAATTTCGCACAACACGCTGCTCGTAAATATCAGCTGCAGCGTGACTTGAAACTAGTAGAACCTAGTCGATTTTAAATCAACAGTTACTAACACATATCTTTATTTTGTTATCCAGGTATGTTACTACTGCTGGATAGTGTCAGCAGCGACCCGCCACGCTCTCGGCTGGTGGATTTGGTACAGATCTCAATACGAAGTCAGGCTCCAAATACAAGAAAACGAAGATTAATACTTACACAAAATATTTATTTATTTCTTGTCGCCCTGCAATGTTTATAATTTTATATACCAATTATTTTATGGTTGAGTTAATAAACGCAAACGTAAACGATATCTTTGAGTACATTTTTAGACCCGATTGTCTTCAGGCCAGTAGTTATTGCGTAAGAAATAATACATGCTCCATATAAATTGTGTCAGGGTTCTATCTTAACCTTTAACTACTGACGTGGGTGTCTCATAGACGGCGTGTTCACGAATATAAGAATTTTCCAAAAAACGTCGAAATAATTGTATTGTAGCTAAGATTTTAACATATATTTTTTTAAGTTATGCGAAATATTTATATTTTAAGTTTATAGAATTTGAATTAGAAACCGCTGATTTCATCCGAGAACGTTGTATTTTTTGCACTTCCTTAATAGAATTATAATGGACCGATCAGAATACAAGTAAATATTGTGCAAATCAGTAAATACAAGTAATCCATTTCGATTAATTATTAAGGTGTTTGACATACGTCACGTCACCGTTTATGGTATGAGTAAACCACGTCAGTACTTGAAGGTTAAATAAATAACAATGAGTTTCTGTTCATTAGTCCCGCCTCCCGCTGAAACTCGAGGACGGCTGAACCGATTTGGCCAATTTTGGTCTTGAAATGCTCGTGGAAATCCAGGAAACGTTTTTTTTTTAAGGAGGGAAAATCATCGATTGACTTCTCCCGCCTAGGTGAGGTGGGAGGGAGTGTCAGACTCTTATTGACTAAAAACCACCCCGTTCCTACTCCTGCACTCCGAGCCGATGCCCTGGTAACCCGCTAGGTTCTCCGCGGCTCCGCATCGGCATCAGCCCTATTGAGCCCCATCTATGGTGATCGGATGGCTCTTTGAGGCGCGCGCGGAACTCGTCTCGCCGCACGCTCGGGTCTGGTTCTGGTCGCAAGCCCGTGCTTACGGTGGCCGGAGATCGTCCTACCATCTCCGACGCCCGGAGTGTCCTTCGCGACGGCTGGGTTGTGAGGAGGCAGCGCTTCGCTGCCTCATGCGCCCCGCCGGGTCAACTAATCTTTAATAAATCAAACATATATATAGACATAAAAACTAGCCATCCACCAAAGGCAACATTTCAATATACAACTAATTAAACCACAAGTTTAACTATGATGTTATAATAGCTCAGAGTTCATGAACTCTGTAACTGAGGGCGTAGTACGATTTTGTTTTACGTATAAAAAAATCGAAGCGAGAACGCGTTCGGGGCGGTGTGATTCACATCACACATTAACAGCCTATAAGTGGCCACTGCTGACCACAGGCCTCTTCTCGAACGGAGAAGATTTAAGCATTTATCACCCGCATTGGGTAGGCGATTTCAAACTTATAATTAGAAATTATAAGCTCAGGTTTCCTCGCAATATTTTCCTTCACCGTTTGTCAGTGGTGCTAAGTAATTTTAGAAAGTAAACATAACTCGGAAAACGTCACATAGGTACTTGCCGTTGGTAGGTTTCGAAACCGCGCCCTCATGCATGAGAAGCGGGAGTAGTTTTGTATTAAAATTATATATTTCCTTACTGTCTACGGTGATCTATATTATTCTATGTTACCACCTAATGCAATAAAGTGCAACAATGTGGAATGCAATAAAGAATTTGAATTTGAATTTAACCTCCGGCCACCATGACGGCGGTGTGATTGGCCGGTTTCAATAAACCAACCATTCAGAGCGCCCAACGCAGTCTCGTTTTGATCTCGTTCAACGTAATGCTAATTTGTACTCAGCCCTCAAATCAAAACTAATTAAAACTGTGTCACTGATGCATAATTAACAAGCTTCCTGCTGCTTAATCCAAAGTCGAGATTAAAGTACTTTTAGATAAGTAATTATAATTGTTGTTGAATTATTTGTCTGCTATTATTACCTGGATCGAAGCAACAATTGAATTTCTCAATAAGCTCATCCACCGAGTGGCAAAAGAATCCTCACCTATGCAGAGACAATACGCACAAAAATCACGGTACGCTAAATCAATAAAGGAGAAAGTAAACGAGAGAAGACGTCTTCGGAAAAGGTGGCATTCTACAAGATATCCTCGTGACAAGAAAGCCTTTAACCGAGCTTCAGAAGAACTCAAAGACATGATCTACCAAGTAGACAATGCACGACTCCAGTACCAACTTGCCAACCATACTCCAAACAAAGACACTAACTATTCCCTTTGGAAGATAACAAAGAAACTGAAAAGGCCAAAGACACACATACCACCAATAAAAACTACTCCAGGAAAATGGGCAAGAACAGATCTTGAAAAAGCTCAAGCGTACTCAGAACACCTAAAGGACGTATTCCAACCTCTGACAAGTAAACACCCAGATCATGACAAAGACGTTTATGAGTACCTCGGTTCCCCACTACAAATGTGCTTACCGCTAAAAAGTGCTAGCCCTAAGGAAGTGTGGAAGGAAATCCTAAAACTACCGGAAGGTAAAACACCAGGCTATGACTTAATTGACGCACAACTTTTAAAACAACTACCAAAAAAAGGAATAATACTCATTACTGCAATCTTTAACGCCTGTCTTAAGTTAGGCCAATACCCGGCACAGTGGAAAATTGCCCAGGTTATCATGATACTCAAACCAGGCAAACCGCCCCATGAAGTAAATTCTTACAGACCGATAAGCTTACTCCCGGTGCTAGGCAAACTTCTAGAGAAAATCCTACTAAACAGGATGCGCACCTACCTACCGGAAACAATACCTGACCACCAGTTTGGCTTCAGAGAACAGCATGGGACTATCGAACAAGTACACCGCCTCACGGATACGATAAGTCGAGCGCTAGAAAGCAAGCAATTTTGTTCGGCTTTATTCTTGGATATAAGTCAAGCATTTGATAGAGTCTGGCATGAGGGACTTCTTTATAAGGTCAAAAAACTACTGCCACACTCGTTTTACTCAATCCTGCAATCATACCTGAATAACAGATGCTTTGAGGTAAAACTTAAAAACGAAACCTCACAGCTGAACAATATCTTCTCAGGAGTCCCACAAGGTAGTATACTGGGTCCCGTAATGTACTTAATTTACACCGCAGATCTACCGCTACATACCGACACCCTTACTGCCACCTACGCAGACGACACAGCCCTCTTATCAGTACACAACGACCCACTTATAGCTTCGGCCAAGCTACAAGAACATGTCAGTAAAGTGCAAAAGTGGCTGGACACCTGGAGAATTAAGGCCAATCAGAGTAAATCTGTCCATGTCACTTTCACCCTCAGAAAACAAACGTGTCCTCCAATAAAACTCCACAATGAGGAGATACCACAGGCCGAGGACACTAAATACCTGGGCATGCATTTAGACCGAAGACTCACTTGGAGAAAGCACATATGGACTAAGCGTAAACAGTTAGACGCAAGACTTAGATCAATGCATTGGTTAATGGGTCGCAAAACAAGACTCTCGAAAGAAAGCAAGATGGCCATCTATAAAACTATCCTTAAACCGATTTGGACATATGGTATCCAGTTGTGGGGTACATCAAGCAACAGCAACATTGAGATCCTTGAAAGGTTTCAAAGTAAAACGCTGAGAGCCATACTCGATATTCCTTACTACGTAAGTAATAAATACATACATGAGGATTTAAACATCAGTACAGTCAAGCAGGAATTTGCTAAATACAGCAAAAACTACCAGTCGAGAATATCTACACACATCAATGAACTTGCTTCTAAACTCGAAGGCACGAGAAGTGTCACATACTCCAGACTCAAACGCCATAGCGTTCCTACCCTTACTACGAGGTTCGACAGCTTATGAGAGGAAAACAAAACTTTCCTACTGTAAGACCAAAGACTGGTGACGTGGACCACAACTGAATGGCTCATTGTGAATGATCACAGATTGCTAAGTTGCAGAAAATATAAGAAAAAAAAAATTATTACCTGGTAGGTAACTTCCACGTATATCGAAGTTTCCCTGTCTATGAAATCAGTCAGTCAGAGTATTAAAGTTACTTCTTTTTCAATCCAGGAAATACAAAACGTTTACTTTATCATATTACTAGCTGACCTGGTGAACTTCGTACCGCCTACCCGTGTGAGTGAGGTTACCGGAGGCCCAATTACCCTCCCCTTCCGCAATTTCCCCGATCCCTGAATCCCCAACGATCCTCAAACTCCAAATCCCCAAAAGGCCGGTAACGCACTTTTAACACCTTTGATGTTCCAGGTGATCCGTATGCTCGTGTACCGGCTTACGCCATAAAAAAAATTAACGTCGTGTAACCTTGTAGCTGAAATAATGTAGGCTTTGATGTACGACAGGAGGAGGTGATTTTCATTCTACGTCTATGATGCAGTTGAAAAACACGTTGATAAAAAACAACAAAATTCATAATTAAACTTATTATTTTATTAAAAATAATCCTTTTTGGAATATTGTCACAGATCTTGAATTATTATAATGTAATAGATAATTAATATCATACAGAATTATGTAGACAAAGAAAAGTCTTGTTCAAGATGCGACTGAACTGGCAACCGATTTTATACCATTTTAAATCACTGTATTTGTGTGGAGAAACCCTTTACTCGTAACGACTAGTCTCTAAGTTAACATAATTTAAATGTAATCCAGCCTGGCAAAATGCCAAGCAAAACCAACTAATTTGTTGCCCACGACCTCGTCCGCGTAGAATATGAATTTTAGAACATATCTTTATTTTTATTTCTTTCATTTTCCCAAAATAAATGTAGCATATATTACTCCCTAACACATCAGCTAGCTGCCAATAAAAGTCTTGCAAAATCAGTCCTACCATTCCAAAGATTATCCAGTGCAGACAGACAACAGACAAAAATTGTGAACAACGTTATGTTGGTATGTGTATCGTATGTATTCACATGCATGTAGTAAAAAGCGGTTGTTTTTATATTACAAATAGACACATCAATTTTATTTACCTGTATATATATATACAACGATTATGAGATGTATAAAATGGATCACCAAAAAGTTGTCAATACCAGTTGCCAATTCAAACTCCACTTTAAATCTAATTAGTTCTTCAATGAGCTGACATCCTCAAGCCAGTTGGGCCATCTTCTGATCTCATTGTAGAGCTTCCTGCCAGGACTTTGCGTGGCAATGAGCTGGCGATGGCCAACAACGTGGTAGTTAGCAGTCAAGTGCCCTCGCTCCACTCCACAACGCAGCAATGCCTTCACTGCATCTAATGACGCTTGAGTTGGAGTGTCATCTGAAATAGGCAGTATAGTTAGTCAGTTAAGAGCGAGGTTCCACTTTTTCGCTGCGTTGCGTTACGGCGCGTCGTCTTCGCAATGGAACAGCGCATTACACGCTCCACCTAGGTTGCCACGACGCACGACGTCACAGCTGCGTCTAAACGTGATGAAGACGACTGTCAGTCGACGCAACAGATCACTGTCATCCTGTTTAGTCTCTTGTCCGTCGATCTGTTGAAAGATCGAGCGCGATGACGCAACACAGTGCAACGAACAAATTGGTCTTCGCTCTAAGCGAGCTGCTGATTAGGCTTTTGTTTCTGGAGGATTTACGAATATGTTTAATTCAAGGGACTGTTGTTAAGGTAGAATGGTCGTTGATTAGTTATCAGACTTCAGCCAAAGGTAGAGTGGTCACCATCGCGCTTATTAACTCGTCGAGTACCGTCATTATAGACACAATTATAGAACAATAGGTTGCGGTCACCGGTGACCGCTTGGTGTTTGACAGTTTAAGCAAGGGGGTCTCGGGATTTATTCTCGGAATGTCCAAAATATTATAAGCTTTTATTGGTTTTCTGAGAACTTGTAATAGGCAATAAGACTCCTGTGTTATTGTGATTGTCTTGAATCCTGTTCGGTGTGTGTGTGCGTGAGGTTTACTCCCCATTCCACAGGGTGTACTGTAGGTATATTAAAATAATGAATAACGTGATACAGCTCAACATTGTAAGGTTCATTTTTTGGACATTCTTTGGTATTGATTGTTAATGTGAATTTTAACATTTTTTTAGTAAAACTGCTAGTATATTTCGCATAAATAACGCCTACCTTAATTTTCATATCAATATTTAGACAGAGTAGAAATTCGGAGAACGTTTCAGTGATGTTGTTCTCGAAACTTGAACTTTAATGTGTACCATTATTAATATAAAGAGAAACAGAATCGACTAAGTATATTTGTTGAAGTTTTACATCAACGTATGTAAAATCGTATCATTTATCTGATTATATACCTCCCTAAAAATGTAAATATAGTTTTACTAGGACTTAATCTCTTTTATTATATTTTTCTAACATAATTTTATATTTGATATCATATTACACCCGAGGGAGTTTCGAGAAATTAATCTCTTTGTACTGACCTTTCCACCAGCTCCTCAGTGCAAAATCTCAAGTTTTAATTTAGGCCTAGTAATTAAAAGAAATATTAGAACTAGCGGTCGAACCCAGTTCTGTTCAAGTCCAAAGAATCTGAAGGGTTTTTTCTTTTTGAAGCGTCTTATTCCAACAGTATTTACAGACATCAAATTTTGTAGTGACAAAAGGGGTAACCGCTTTTGTTATTCCATAAGCAATATAATAATACAAACAAAATACATATTGATTGAATGCATTGTATAGATAGCTGCCGTGGAATTAAAACAAAATAATATAACAAAGGAAATCGTCTTACAAAATTTTGACTGAGTGATCTAGTCAAATTATTTTTGGCAACTTTCAAGTGCCGCAACTCCTAACTGCAACGGCCACGTGGCAATTGACGCTCATTGTATTGAATATCGGACATTATTTTAAAACCACATTTATATAGAAAAAGTCACGTCACGTCTCCTAGTATTATGTCTGTATTCGTTACATGTCCATTACCAATATTTCTATCTGTCAAAGAGAGTAGTATTGATATTAAAACTCCTAACCTAATAACCTAACCTGACCTATTAAGGCTATAATAAATTCTACAAGCACTAGAACAACTTAAACTAATTAAGATAAACTCATATAGGTATTACTAGACAAGCCAACATTTTTAAAGTGCCTATTAATGTTAATGTTATGTGTGGAAGTTTATACTAGGGCAAACCTTTCTTTGTTTGTGCTCCAATTGTAATAAAGTATGTTCAGTGTATTTGCTTTGAAGAATACTTGAATTAAATTAGTCAATTGTAATATGAAGGCCAATGTCAATAGTTCTTGCTAATGAATTGGTTAATGAATTAAAACCAAAGAGCTCCAAAGTATAAAATGTTAGAATTAAGTTGTCGAAATGTTTTATAGTCAGTTTGTAGTAATATTTTAGCCTCTTTGTTTAAGGAGGGAAAATTATCGAATGACTGCTCCCGCCTGGGTGAGGCGAGAGGGAGTGTCAGACTCTTACTGACTAAAAACCACCCCGTTCCTTCTCCTGCACGTCGAGCCGGAGCCACGGTAACCCGTTAGGTTCTCCGCGACAGTATTTTAGCCTCTTAGGGTAAGATGTTCATACAATGAAACAAAACGAAAACGCTGTGTTAGTGAGGTTACCGGAAACCTAATTACCCCTCCCCCCGTCCCCAATCTTCCCAGTCTCTGAATCCTCAACAAACCTCACATTCGTAATGCCCAAAAAGCCGATAACGCACTTGTAATGCCTCTGGTGTTCCAGGTGTACATGGGCGGCGCCGATTGCTTACTATATGAATTAATTCGTCTGTTCGCATAGTGATGACAAAATTCTACTCTGTCATCTCTGATTATTAACATCAACAACCTTTAAGTTGGCTACTGCTGACCAAAGGCCTCTTCTCATTCTCAGGCATCAGAAACAAAATATATGCAAAACCCGGTCACACGTCAGGTGTTACCCTAAGAAAAAAACAAACTTTTTTGAGGACCCTAACACCAACGGAACAAAATCCAGTAACACACTCAAATCTAGACTCTGAAAGAAAAGAAACGCCTTCCACAGACCAAAATAGTACAATGTTGTCTGATTCACACATAATTACTGACTGCGATACGTCCGATGCGTCATTTACTACTCCAAAAATACTATCAAGGAGTGTGGATAGAACTGCAACTGATTTAATAACCACCTCGAAAATGAAGGAAACAATTGCTAAACTTACACTTAAACTGGAAAATGCAGAAAATGAACTAGAAAATGTAATATTAGAGAACACCGATTTGAAGAAACATGTAAACAAACTAGCTGCGGAAATCATCACTTTAAAGTCCTTGTGCCAGTACTCCTCTATAAGTCGAAATCCTGGTTCAATCTCTAAGAAATATAAGCAAACCGGAAGGCGACGACTAAACTTAAGTTCCACACCGTCTACTTCATTATCATCTTCAGTAAAAGTCGATACAAATGTTTACGTACTTCAACTGGAACAGGAAATTCGAAACTTACAACAGCAATTACAGCTTGCAGAACAGGAATTAGTAACCCTCACTGAACGCATCAATACCTATGAGACCGCTAAACATGAATTGAAGAAGGACTGCGTGCACGTCACTGCCATCGATCCTCGTGTAAAATTTCAAGACGGCCGGCAGGAGAAGTATACTGACACCTCCAAGCGGAACTTCGCCTCATTAACAAACATGAAGGAAACTCTAAGCAAAACGGCACAAGTGAGTAATGTTGCTTGTAAAAATCTAACAGGTGCCATATCACTCCTATTACGTAAAAATCGAATAGCTATTATAAGCAGTAATTGCACACGGGGTTCTCTGCCAATGATCGAAGAGGCATTTTCAAAATATTTTGATTATTGTAATTATATCGTACCGAATGTCACCTCTACTTCTTTCCTAGGGAGTATGAAATATAAACTAAGGGATTTTACAATGAACGATTACTGCCTTATATTCGTTGGAGAAAATGATCTGCAGAGCGAGGATTCTTCACACATACTACATAACTTAAAATACTCGTTACAAAACGTGACCCATACAAATATTGTTATCTGCACTCCGGTATACATAAAAGGAGCCTTAATTTATAATTATAAGGTAGAGCAGTTCAATAATCTTCTCTTGGCGGACATAAGAACCAGCGAATAAGCATATTTTTTTGATAGCAATAGTACACTTTCACATGACATGTTTTCGTATAATACTGGGAGAATAAATAAATACGGATGGAAGAATATCTTTGGCCAGATTATGTCTAGGATAATGTTTGACTACGAACTGTACGGTTTTCAAGAGAAAGATGCAGACACAGAGATTGAAGCTGATACTGTGTCTGCTACAATCAGTAATACTGGGGCTACAGCTCAACAAGATAGCCAGTTTTTTCTATTATAAGCACTTGAATATCATGCATCAAAATATCGCTGGATTATTAAATAAAGCTGATGTGTTAACATTGCATGTTCAAGAGTTGCTTATAAAAGATAATAGACATAGATGCATAACGGAACATTTCGTTACTTTGGGTCAGGAATCATTAATAAGGATCCCTAATTTCAAGCTCGCAGCGTGTTATTCAAGAAATCGACAGAAGCGCGGGGGATCGTGTATTCTCATCAGAAATAAATACAAATATAGGGAACTTACTAATTCTTCTATTTCAGGTATATTTGAATATTGCGCAATAGAGATAGTGGAACAAGGAATGGTAGTTATTTGCATTTATAGACCTCCCAATAAGACGTGCATAAGTTTATTTTTAGATAACTTAGATATCCTATTAAAGAAAATTTGTACTAAACCTAATAGAAAGGTCGTGTTGTGTGGAGACTTTAATATTAATAGACTGAATAGAAATAACTATTCACTGGACTTCAAAAATTTATTGCTTAACTATAACCTTAAATTAGAATTAAATGAAGCAACTAGACCCAAAAGCGGCACTTGTTTGGATAATTTTGCTCACAATTCCAGACAAAAATGTGAGAGTAAAATAATCGACTTCGCGTTGTCGGACCATACTGCTCAAATTTTAAAAATTCAAGTAAAAAGGACATGCGTACTGGATTCTTGGCACATTCAGAAACGAGATTTGTCTAATGAAAATTTAACTTTATTTAAAAAGCATCTAGAATGTCTGTCTTTTGCTGTATTCATCTATAATTAACAAACGTCTAATTACCAATATCAATATGTTTGATACGAAATAAACAGTGCCTGAATAAGTGGAATCATACATTGTAATGCGATCTATCACGCACACCGCACATACACACGGCCGCATCAATTATGTTATTAAATATTTCCAAAGCACGTACGTAATAAAGGAGACAGTGTACATTAGTAAATATAGCACAGAGACTAAACTGTTGACTAAGCTTTTTGTCTCCTTCGTTGGTCAACAATTTTAGGACAGCGCTTGTGTAAAGTATTAGACGGTTTGTACCCGGAAAAATTATGTATGTATGTCGACTTAGATATTGGTACTTTTTATCGTAAAATGCCGGATACAATTCAATAAGATATTTATGAAATTCTTGCAAATAATTATAATTAATAGACATCAATATCGGTTCATTTATTATTTAATTTTAAGCCACGTAGACTTAGACATTAAATTAAAACCTAGGTTTTCTGGTAGTAACGAATTGGGAAACAGATTTTCTAATCTAATTAATTATTATTGTAGTTAATAACGGCCGTTTACCATAAACATTATCTTGCTTAAAAGGTTTTTATTAACATTTTATTCTAATGTACATAATAGTTGACAAAATAAACATATTTAAAAAAATATAAAGTCAGCCCGTCCCGGCTTCGCACAGGGTAGATAATTATTTATTTTTGGAAATTTGGATTGCTGTAGTGACATAACTACAATAGTTGGACATATGCTTCAATATTATTGTCATTATTTTGTTCTATCTCTAATAGTTTCGGCAGCGCATTCGACGAAAGACGTTTTAAGACTCATTTTTCTACATCTTCGGTTACATTGTTCAAATTTTAGAAGAATCCCTAATTTTTTTCAAAATGGAATGTAGCCTATGTCAAATTGGAAGAATGTAGTCTATTGGTGAAAGATTTTTTTAAATCGGCCCAATACTTTTACTTTTAAAATTTTACATTTTACATTACATTATAAACATATAAAAATAGGTACAAATCTTTCCTCTTTATAATATTAGTATAGACAATACTAACCTCAACTTCAACACTAGACTATTATTTATGTTCACGTACTATAACCACGTTCCACCGTAACTAGACACAAACATTATTTACCTAAGACCCCTTTTTTTCATACGAATTAAGCTCGTAATATTTACATTGCGTAAACACATATGAGAAGGGAAACCCACAACAAAGCGCTGCCATTTACTCAGTTAACTTAGGTACACACGTGCGTGCGTGCGAAGTTTAGTCTCTGTGAGATATGTACTCCGTGTCACGTTCCACGGCGCGATAAATATAGTACCTGTGTGGATAATTTATGAGATCTATCGAAAATATCGACGTATTTGATTCTGTAAAGGTTTGATATGAATATTTTTGTAAGTAATACCTTGGTATGTATGTGTTAAGTAATGTTAGACGGATGTTGATATAACTAAATATCTACAGATCTCAGTTATGGCCTGTAATTCCACCCACTTTAAATACATTTTCTAAGAAACTAACTTAAATATAAGTTTCTCATGCCCATTTTCACGAAGTTCTCCTAAGTTTTAAGTTAAGATAAGTTAACGACATTTTGGTTAAATCAGTCTATACCTAAATGTCACCTAATATTCCTAACAGTACAAGTAAAGGGTTAATTAAGGTGGTACGCTACGTTAACTAACTTATAGCCAAGAGATGGTTTAAGACAAGCAGACTTAAACTGTCAAACACCAAGCGGTCACCGGTGACCGCAACCTATTGTTCTATAATTGTGTCTATAATGACGGTACTCGACGAGTTAAGACTGGTTGGCTTCGTTAGTCGCAAGTGTAACTGCCGAACAAGGGGTTTCGAGTTCGATTCCCGGGTCGGGCTACTACTGGGTTAACTAATGGGTTTTTTTGAAAAAAATTCAGTAGTAGCATGGAGTCTGGAATTTCCCTGGTATATGGCAATACGCTCACCCCCAATTACATGGGACTCATAACATAAATAGTGAAAAATGGGTGTTATATTGTATACAGTGACATTAAGTGACGTAATGCCACCTGTGCCTCCCTTCGGGGATAAAAGGCGTGATGTTGTATATTTGGTTTAAGAATGGTTGCTGAAAACGACCACAATTTTTTATAACTTTTTAACATTGACCGGAGTGACGTAACTATTTCTCAGTAAACGTTTATCTATAAATGTAACAATCAATATTAGTTTGAGCCGTTTATAGACTAGAAGACACGGTCGATTGAACTCTGGCTAACTAAAATGAACAATAAACAAAATAACTAGGTATTAGGTATATCCCGTATACCTTGGAAGTTGGAATGAGCAAATAGCTTCACTTTTAAACTTTTTGTTGACGTTCAAAAGTGCCTTTCTGGTGTAATTGATTTTTTTTTGTTTCAACTTCTTTTACTTTTAAAGATGTTTGTGTTACATACAAGATAATTTTTGTCAATTATTGAGGAGTTCCCTCAACTGTTCTTCTGCTTCATCGCCAGATCAACTTCAGACCTGCATTATTTTTTTTTTTATTTATTGGAACCACAAACAAGTTTACAATACACCTTAATATTTATATCTTAACTAATACAATTTTACTTATTGCAAACTCAACATCAATGGTCACCTAAATATAAATGATTTAGAAAATGATGAACCTGCACCTTAATATAATCATGTTTCAATCAGGTTTCATAGGAAGTGTTACCGTGGTGAAAATAATTAGAAAAAAAAAATGCGTGTATGTATGCATGGTACTTGCCTTTGATAGGCTTTGAACCCGCACCGGAGGTTCACCACGATATTAGAATTACTACATAGTCAGAAGTTCATTAATACACACCATTATTCTGAACTGTATTTTTGATATGTAGATATTTACTGTTGTATTTAAAACTAAAGGTAGGAAATACAAATAATTTTCAGCCCCAAGTGAACATGTATGGCTATTTAATACCGCTTATTAAAAATCACTTGAAACAGTATAAATGTTTGAAGTATGTTTCTCATTTAACTCGTTACAATAGAAATTGTTTTCATCGACTCCATGACTTTTAACAAACAAATTAAAACTAGAACGTAGAGCTATAGAAATAGAGTTTAATTTTCAACGTTGAGCCCACGTGGATAAGCAACTAACTTTTAAGGATAGAAAATTGTACCAACATGACGCACGAGTAACGTATCAGACTTTGAAATTATTTTAGCTTGAGTAAGACGGACATGATTATTCCGGCTAGATTTATGTAAAGTAATTAGTATGTATTATCATGTATTATAAAAGTCTATGTTGTGACTCGAGAGAAAAAATTGCGCGAATTTAATAATTGAAAACTAAAGAGTTTCGACTTCTACAAGCCGCTCAGTTACTGCGACAACTGTGCAATCGCAACCTTTCTTTCTTTCTTACTTAGTTTTCCTTTATTCTATGGTTAAAGTTATTAAAACATTTTTAATATGGGAGAGCCATGCTTCGGCACGAATGGGCCGGTTCGACCGGAGTGATACCCACGGCTGCACAGACAACCGACGTGAAATAACGCTCGCGTTGCGCTTCATCATGTGAGTGAGGTTACCGGAGACCCAACTGCCCTCCACCCGTCCCCAGTCTCCCCAATCTCTGAATTCCCAACTATCCTCAAATTCCTAATTCCTAAAAGGCTGGTATCGCAGTTGTAACACCTCTGGTATTCCGGGTGTCCATAGACGACGCCGATTATTTACCATCAGGTGATCCGTCTGCTTGTTTACCGGTTTCTCCCATAAAAAAACATTTACTTTGACTTTGACTTTGTTCCTGACTTTGACTTTGACACCGAATTTGACTTTGACTTTACTTACTGTTATAGTTTCCAATAAAAGTGATGCCATAGGACTTCCTATTGTATCCGTATGTGTGTGCCCCAACATGCAACCAACCAGCACCCTCATATACTTTGCCGTTGCCGCCAATAATGAACCTGCAATGATCGTAATAATAGTCAATTAGTGGAGTAAAATATGCAGAATGTGCAGTACAATTTATACAAGATGGCAGAAAGTAACAAGAACAAAAGAACCAAGCAATACTGTGGTACACATAAATATGAGATGACCAATAAAATACAAAAACAATGAGGTCTGGATCCTCAAAGAAATAAATCAAAAGTTATCGAAGGAAACGAAAAAGAACCTATGCTTTTATAATAAAATATATTATTGCCATGACCGATTAATTGAAAACCGACTTTAGTATCCATACAGTTCATCAGTTTTTGTAGGTACGTTATTGGAAAAGTTTCTAAATAGTTCATACACTACTCAATAGATGCCGCTTTGTTCAAGTTTGATAAATCAAACAGATTGTTCGTAACAGTCTGACATAGCGAAAAAGTTATTTAATATTGTAGTATCTATTAATAAAAAAGTTTAGTAATAAACTAGACTGAAGTAACTTGTCAAGTCTGGTATTGTCTAGATCCTGTGATGTAGGGCACCTACAGATGTTGTATTATGTCAAAAGATAACAAAGTTACTAGTGGAAGTATACTGTTCCTTACTCTTATCAACTCCTATGTAGGTATAGGTACAGTATCAAAATTCCAGAACATTAAAATTTTTCAGGTTTAAGTTAAAGAAGAAATCCTAAAAGTTTGATCTCCAAGCATAATATATCTTTAAGTCAGTGCAAGAACTTCAAATTGTTCAACCCCTAAAAATATTGTAGAATGTAGATGAACATCCTAATTTAAAAAAAATATATATTTTTACTAATCTGTTAAGTAAACACGTCAATACCAAAAGGCTCATAAAAAAAGGTGAAACTACTTAGTATCTGTCACATATTTTCGAAACTAACTAATAGAGTATGTCCTGTGTCTGGCCGACCTCGGGGCTCATGTATCCAAACCCAATTTACCCTATTAGACACCTGGACACCCGATACTTGGGACACTTTATTTTTCAACGCTTCCTATCTCGTTAGATGAGTTCAAGCTGCAAATTGTAGCTTGCAGCTGTTTGCATGTTTACCCATTAAGGGTAGTTACGTAGATTTTAAACGCGTTATTGAAATTTGATTTTTTATGGAATACTGAACGAGACGACGAAGTAAAAAATTTACAAAGTATCGTTTTATTTTAATGGAAAGACTCGTCAAGTACCATCATTATAAACACAATTATAGAACAATAGGTTGCGGTCACCGGTGACCGCTTGGTGTTTGACAGTTTAAATTACTTCCTTTTGTGATTACGATTTGAATTCACTAGAATATTTTTTTCGAAAATTTCCCAAGTAAGATAATGGGTGAGGGGTAGTTTCTAGTCAGTAAGAGTCGAACTTTCCCTCCTACTTTACCCAGGCGGGAGAAAAGAAGCGTTTTTAAGGGGGGGAAACCATCGAATGACAAATATGGAAACTAGTAAATTAAAGCATATTACCTAGAAATGTCTTAAATTCAACACATATAAGTTTCAACGCCTGTATAATATTTATAACTACATTTAATTGTAATGCCTAGTGACTCGACCTCACAGTGAAACCATTGCAACGGTTTTGTGGGGCTTAAATTATAACATACTTAACTGTGTAATTTAAAGATAAATAAATAAATAATAATGATAACACACTAAAAACTTTTTTAGAAAACTTTGCCCCACACTAGGATTTTCTCCTGTGTCGTGGGTGCGTTCACAAACATACAATATCACATGCACATTACACCCAGATCCGGAACAACAATCTTTGGGTCACACGAAGGGTTGTTCTGTGCGGGGATTGAACTCACGACACGTTGCGCGGCAGCCAGTTGTCCAGCCAGTTGAATAGTAAGTACTCAGTGCTGCTTAAAGCCGTTGCTGTAAGACCAAGCAACAAAACAAATAGGAGAGCGTGTGGTTTGTGAAGACAGTATAAATGTAAAGCCTACTTACGACGATCCAATATCCCACATATTCAAGTTATCCATATGATTCTCCTGTATATTCCTCACGATCTCTGCACAACTAGCGTCAGTACTGCAGGTACGCGTGACTGTGTGCTGGATGATGACCAGGTCCACTGGTCTCGCCAGGTACTCCACGTGGACTGGGTTTAACCCGTCCCATTGTTGTTTGGACACTACGCCACAGTCTGTAAAAGACGCAGAATATATATTATCTAAAATTAAGTGGACGAACCGCTGCTTGATGCATTTTCAAAAATGAAGTTCAGAAGTGATGGCTTATGATAAAATTATAAGCTTGTCAACACCTCTAAAGTGATAGCCACGATCACAAAACAATAATCATTAATTTTAGAGGTAGTTTCCTAATTAATCATGACGTTATTATTCAACATATTTTTTTTTCAAAATTTACACTTTTAACTTATAGTTATGCTGTTAACAGTTATTTCAAAATTACCCACTTGTAGGAATGTTAAATATTCGAAAGATATCAAAATAGGTTTAAAGTAAAGTGTCAAAAGAAAATTGATAGCCCTTTTACATTAAATAATAAGTTTAAAATTTATTTGAGAAGACTAAAAAATTAAAATTTTAATCCATAGTGTTTCGAGTAAAATGTTAAAAAAATCAAATTATAATTTAATAATAACATTGAAGAAATCCAAATGTGAAAGATTAAATTTTATCAAGATTATTTTACAAAAATTTCTTTGTTTTAAAAAGCACACCCCTGCGGCTGATAGAATCCAAATTAAAAAAAAAAGACAAACAAATTGAATAACAGTAAAAAGTTTCACACTCATCGCCAAGTCCTTACTCCAAGACCAATGACCTTACAAAAAGATATATCAATTATTTTATTTTCTTTTGCTAAATAAAATAAAATACGATATAGTTATTACTATAGTTTGGACGTAAAATGAAAAGTATTTTAATACACTCACCCCCATTTACAGCTACTAAAATACAAAATAAAGCGAAAATGTTAAAAAATAACTTCATTTTTTGGTTTTATAAATGCAACTTCGCTCTTCGAGTACTAAATAACTACTGAAAGCACTTTGAGACCTAACCAATGAACTTTGTTTAACCGAGAAGAATCCTCATGCTGTCCTCTTCAAACTTCCTAATGTGTAAATGAGATGGCAATTGTGAAGTCGTTTGTAAAATTATTCGCGTATTGCATAGAGGATTCTTCATCTGTATTGAGGTTCCGTACATTAATTTGTTCAGTAAATAGTTTAATGTAATTTAAACTGTCATACACCGCGAGGACACCGGTGACCGCAACCTATTGTTCTTTAATTGTGTCTATAATGACGGTACTCAACGAGTTAAATGCTTTGTTAGTCAAATGAAAGATAGTGCAACAGCCAAGCATGGGATTTCAAGTTCAACTCCCAGATCTGGGTCAAGTACTATTGGTATTCAAAACACTGCTTATTCAGAACTAGATTCTGCCAGCGAAATGTCAAAACCATAGCATTTTTTTCAATTATTTCACCACTGACACACGATGAAGGAAAATATCTAGTCTGTAATCTCCAACCCATATTGAACAAGCATGGTGATTAATGCTCAAACCTTCTCCGTGTGAGGGAAGGGTTTGCTCAGCCCTGAGCATTTATAGGCTGTTGATGATGATGTCTTATTCCAAACCATAATCTAGCCCTGTTAAAAATTTTATTTCGATCTCTTCAGCCGTTTTGACGTTAAGGAGTAAAAAACAAACAAACATACAATCTTTCGCATCTATAGTAGGGTGAACCTAATTTAAATAAAATCTACCATTTGTACTTATGTATGGCAATATTATTTGTAAATACAAAACTAGTAAATGGAGTGATATGAAATTAAATTAAATTACGTATGTATGTGGGTAAGAAACATTATAATTTCTGTTGTCAAGATTCCTGGAACACCTTTTCACTGTTCAGTTAAAAGGAACGTTTAACTGAAGCAGAAAATATTTGAATATTTCATTGGGAATTGTTCTCATTGTGAAGGCTTTTGCTTTGCTTTGTCCCATATTTCTACGAAATGTGTTTAAATGAAAGTTTTCATTCACGATGTACCTGGAACTTCTGTGAACACTTCTGTGTTCAGAACAAAGAAAAAATGTATGCGATCAGGTGTCAAAATTTCATGATTTTATAGAAGATTTACATGGAACTGTTCATTACGTCTATTTTAGTCACCTTTTTATGATAAAAGATCGTTGTATTGTTTGATCTTAGTTGCCTACAAACATACGTATTTGTGCCGAGCAAAAGGAAATCGTGAAACGTCTCAGTACTAGGATTATTTTCCTAAATCATTTTTGTTTTACTTCCATGACTATGAAGGCGGTTTTTAAAAATGCTTCTGTACTTACATTAAATATTATATTTAGATTTATCTTTCAATGAATAATAATATAACATAACATCACGCCTTTTTATCCCCGAAGGGGTAGGCAGCGGTGCACATTGCCACCGTGCAATGTAACACCCCTTTCACTATTTATGTTATGAGTCCCATGTAATGGGGGTGAGCCTATTGCCATATACCGGGCACCATTCCGGACTCCGTGCTACTACTGATATTTTTTTAAACCCAGTAATACTTTGCCCGACCCTGGAATCGAACCCGAGACCCTTTGCCCGGTAGTCGCACTTGCGACCACTCGACCAACGAGGCAGTCAAAGCAGTTGATTGAATATAATTATCACTTAAAGAATTATACTCGATATTTGGCAAAATGTCGATGATCTGTAGCTATCTTCAGACCTCTTCTCCGGGGAATAACAGGCGATTTTAACTTTGTGTAGCGGAACCCCAATACCTTGAAAGCATACTGATAACTCAATTATAAACTATTCTTGTTGGCTGGGAACGGGGATTCCTCTCAACACATAAACATAAGTTTATCTCTAAAATACAGTATGATACTGACTTCGTAAAAATATAGCTGTAACAGTTCTAGCAATAAAATAAACAAACCGGTTGCCGGTACAGTTTTGGTTTCCGTAGATTGAATTTGAGCCTTATGCCGTTGCAATAGAAGCTTAGTTTTTTTTTATAGTGTTGCAATATCAATAGATATAGCGTGTGTCGTGCATGTCTTTGTTTATCTTATTCAGTGTAGCTCATTGTGATACACGATAGTGTCAATGACAACGTAGCTAGCAAGTTGACCTTTTTTGTCTCGGACTTAAAGTACTCCTGGACCTCAGATCAGCGTTAGATTTATAGTAACCTAAAATTGGCATTGGTGGTAAAGACTAGAGATGCACCGAATATTTGGTTACTATCTGGTATACGGCTTATCCGGCCGTTATTTACTATCCGGCCGGATACGGGTGACAATGTACTATCCGGCCATACACCGGATAGTAAACATGGTAGATTTTACAACTGAAATCTAAATAGAGAGACAGTTGTAATTAAATATTTTTATTATTTTAAACAATTTTAACTTTTTATAATAACAAGTCAAAAGGTGTGCCCTGTGCTGTTTTTGCCACCATCGTGGTATAAAAAAAGAAACGCAAAAAAAACGTGACGTCACAATTCACAATCTCGTAAAAAATTCAAAGAAAACTGTCGTTTCTCACAGTTCGAAAATAGTATTGAATTTGACTAGTTGGCAATAAGTGCCCAATTATGATGATGTGTCTAATAAAATTCTGAAAATTGGACCTTGTAAAAAAATAAAACCATGTCAATATTTTGAATTTATATACCCACATCGCTTAATTAATAAAGGAACGTACTTCAAAGGATATTCGTGTTTACCTATTCGGGGAAAAACATACATGATTTTGCTTGCTCATTTTTAGGAATCTACTACATTAAAGTATTTTTTGTTTTTTTTTTAAAAAAAAACGTTGCCCCACTCTAGGATTTTCTCCTGTGTCGTGGGTGCGTTTACAAACATACAAGTTCACATACACAATGACACCCAGACCCGAAACAACAATTTGTGGATCACACAAAGTGTTGTTCCGTGCGGGAATCGAACCCGCGACACGTTGCACGGCAGCCGGTTGCCCAGTCACCGCACCAACCGTGCAGTCGTATATGTATAACTACGTATGTACATAGTTAATGTTAATAAGTACTATTGTCTATTATGACTATCTATTATATTATATTGTTATCATGACAGCATGACTGTTACGGGGTTGCGATTCCCTACTCGCGATCTACAAATTGTTGGTTCTGGTCTGGGTGTCATGTGTATGTGAAATTATATGTTTGTAAGCGCCCACGACACAGGAGAAATTTCTAGTACAGAGCAACGTTATTCAAAGAAAGAAAAAAATATGTCATTAGGCGGACCTATGGCTATAGGACTGTCCTTACTAATACTATAAAACATCAAAAAGCTCAGTAATATTCTTAGACCCCAGACCGATACAACTGGTGACGCCCTACTCAGTCAGTCAAGCAGTCCTATTTATCATTATACATCTATCTCTATCTACCAATCTATTCCCTACATGTATGAAGTCTAGTAATACTACCAGACTAAACAGTTACTTGGTATATACATACCAAGTAACTGTTTGCTGTTCTCAATAGATATGACATACGTTGACCTCCTGACCGGAAAGTGCATAGCTGATAGTGGCCCTGTTCTCGCACTACGTGTCTGATATTGATATGATCATGTTATTAGTACTTACCGAAAGTTTCCAGCTGAAGCTGTAAAATCGATTTGCTGTCTTGGAAACCACAATAGACGCTGATATTGACCAAAAACTCGACTAAATGGTCGGGATACTCCAGGATGAGGGGACAAAAATGTGGCGGGCGCAAAATACCGGCAGGAAGGCGAAGCTTTATGAAGTGATCCAACAGAGAACCAAAGTTATCGACATAGCCCAAATGATCTGAAGTGGCAGTGGGCCGGCCACATTTGTCGAAGAACCGATAACTGCTGGGGTAAACGTGTTCTAGAGTGAAGACCGTGTCTAGGCAAACGCAGTGTCGGGCGCTCTCTAGCTAGGTGGAGTGACGACATCCGCAAGGATGTTACTAGTTCTAATATCTGTTTTGCTAAGGATAAAAGTGTCTAGTATGGAGACATATCGACTTTTTACTGAGCGCTTAGTACGATTAGTTAAGGATGTGATCGGCGAAGACCATCTCTCGCGTCCAGCTGTAGTTCAGACTATAGTAGGGAGCGAGGGGGACTGGAATGCCGTATCTTCCTTTTGCCAAGCAATCATGCTAGCTTAGGAGGAGGCGGAGCGCGTGAGGGAACGAATCTCCAGCCGTCGCGAGAGACACTCTGCGTGTCGGAGATCGCGAGACAATCTCTGGCAATCGTAAGCACGGGCCTGTGGACGGCCAGCACGGGTGACTCGCCGCCCGACCAGAACCAGACCCGAGCGTACGGCTCGTCCCGTTCCGCGCCCGCCTCAAGGAGCCACCAGACCACCATAGATGGGGCCCAATAGGGCTGATGCCGATACGGAGATGCGGAGGGCTTAACGGGTTGCCGGGGCTACGGCTCGAAGTACAGGAATAGGAACGAGTTGAATTTAATAAAAGTAAGATTCTGACACTCCCTCTCGCCTCACCCGGGCCGGAGAAGCCATTTGATGACTTTCCACTTTAAAAAAAATTGGTTGGTTTATTAGAGCCGGCCAATCAGAGCGCCGAACACAGTCTCATTTCGATTATTTTAAACGCAAAACAAACTCATACTAAGCCCTTTGGTCATACTTAGGATTTCAAAATTAGAGGTACATTACTTTAGTAATGGGGATGATTAAATATTTATCATTAAGGTTTTGGATGTCGTGGTGGCCCGGTGGTTTAAGATGCCCGCTTTTTTTTATGCATGAGAGTGCGGGTTCGAAACTTTTCGAGCGACGGCAAGTACCGATGTGACAATTTCCGAGTTACATGTACTTTCTAAGATTATCTAGACACCACTTACAAACGGTGACGTAAAGCATAGTGAGGAAACCTGGGTTTATAATTTTTAATTATAAGTTTGAAATTACCAACCCACTTTGAGCAAGCGTAATGATTAATGCTGAAACCTTCTCTGTGTGAGAAGAGGCCTTTGATCACC